GTTCGCTGTGAGCTCGCAGCCAATGCGGCCCATGCCACCATAGAGGATGCGCGAGCAGCTGAGAAGGCGTGATGCCCCTCGAAGCGCAATCAGCAGGATTATGTTCCGACGCGACGTGTCTCCAGTGATTTGCCGGCAACACTTCCTGTACGTCCGCAACGCGATTTGCAACGAAGACGGACCAGCGACTTGGAGTACCTTGTAACCACGCTAACGTAACTGTGGAGTCTGTCCACGCGTACAGCTTACCGAGCTTACAGGCGAGGCTAGATCGAACTTGCCGTACCAGCCTTGCGCCTAGATGAGCAGCGCATAGTTCTAAGCGCGGCAACGAAATGACCTTCACAGGCGCTACCTTGGTTTTGGCGGCAACTAATACCACCTCTATCTCACCGTTTGCGTTTTGCGTCCGGCAATAAAGCGCAGCCGCATAAGCAGCTTCCGAAGCGTCCGTAAAGATATGGAATTCCGCGTCGACCACTGAGCCCGTGCCCAGCCAACGCTTCAGCTTAAGCGATGCAAGTTTAGGTAACTCACGTCGATGCGCCAACCAATCTTCTGCTACATTCAGTGGTACTAACTCGTCCCAATCTACATTTGAACGCAATACCCTTTGTAACCAAATTTTAGCGCGAATTGTACAGGGCGCGGCTAATCCAAGCGGATCGAATATCTTGCTTGAGTCGGATAGAAACACGCGTTTTGTGATCTTGTCAGGCAATTCTTGTAGATTGACAGCAATAGAAAGTAAATCTTTATCGGTGTGCCAAACGGAACCCAGAGTTCGGATTTCATTTCCTTCAGCTAAAAGATGCGAAACTTGCTTGGAAACGTGCGGTATTCGTTCTCGTAACGGCCGACAGTTCGTGGCCCATTTTCGCAGTTCAAAACCACTCTTAGAAAATACGAAGGCGACATCTTTCTGCAGCGTGATTAAGTCGTGCAGGGAGTCCGACCCCGTTAACAAATCGTCCATGTAGAAATCCCTTGTAATGACATCAGAGATCCCTTTATATGCATCGCCTGCATCCAGCGCAGCGCGATATAACGATTTCACAGCAAGATGCGATGCCGAAGCCACTCCATAAGTTACTCTCAGAAGACGATAATCGCGAATGGGTTGTGATGAGTTCTCACGCCAAACTATACGTTGATAGTCAGCATCTTGTTCTGCTACGTAAACCTGGCGGTACATCTTCTCGATGTCCGCGATCAGCCCATAGCGATGCGTGCGGAAACGAACTAGTATGGAGAATAGGTCTAGTTGTAGCTGCGGCCCTACCATCAGAGCATCGTTGAGCGAGTTTCCGGATGACGTCTTCATGGACGCGTTGAATACTACTCTGAGCTTGGTCGTGACACTTGAATGTTTTACCACGGCGTGGTGCGGCATGTAGTACGTGTCGCCTGTAACGGCACCAGCTTGCTCCATATGGCCTAAGTCAAGAAGTTCTTCCATGAACTTACAATATTCTCGATAGAGTTGTTCGTCAGCAGCAAACCTCTTCTCCATTCGGAGTAATGCTCGGACTGCAATGCTTCTAGATTCACCTATCGGTACGGATTTCTTCAACGGTAAGCGCACGACGTATCTACCATCGTTAGCTCGCTTGGTAGTGTCTTCGAAAAGTTGTTCACAGGTGAGTTCTTCCGGAGTGTAATGCTTTCTCGGGCGTAACTCTTCGAGTTCCCAGAACTTGTTGACCAGCTCGGATAGTTGCATGTCACAGTGTAAGGTGGTTATGGATGTGGGCTGCCTTAGTAAATTGGCCGCGTTCCCGAGCAATACCCAACCGACCACAGTGTTTTGCGCCATTGGAGTGCCATGTTGGCCCTTTCTTAACCCATTTAGTAGGATTTTGTCCATTTCGTCCATGCCTATAAGGATATCAACTGGACCAGGTTTGGCGAGACTTGGGTCAGCCAGCGATAAATCCAGAATGTGTGGCCACGGTGGTGTCGGTACAGCGGTGGATGGAAGATCATTAGTAATTTTGGGTAATGATCGCGGTGATATGCGTAGGGTTACTTCTCCCTTTGTACGGTCACCTTGGGTAGCCCCTATACCTGTGACGTAAGCGGATGAAGATCGTCTGGGAAGTCGAAGTCGTTGAGCGCAGGCCTCAGTTATGAATGAGGCGTGCGAGCCGTTATCGAGGAGGGCACGAGCTGGTTGCCAACGACCAGCGTCATCTTGTACTAAGACTGCGGCGGTTGCCAACAAAGTGACACGATCAGCATCAGCGTAATGTGACGTGACACTAACGTGCTGGCTTGTTGCGTTCGTAACGGTTGATTCCTCTTGGTTGTTGAAACTTGCGTGCAACAGCGTGTGATGGCGTTGCCGACACATGCGGCACAATGATGAACTGCGACATTTCGCAAGAATGTGCCCTTTGCTAAGGCAGTTTACTATTTGCGTCGAGTCGGCTAAACTTTGAGCAAACGTATATTTTGTGGTCGCCACTGCAATAAGCGCAAGCAGACGCCTTGCCGACGTCGCATGCTTCTCCTTGGCTACATGTTGTGTGTAGAACATTCTTCGCAACTACCTTCGTGTTGGCAGGCGCAAGCGGTAGCATCTCTAAAGAGCGTGCACGAGTTTCTAGAAATTCACGAAGAGCGTTAAACGACGGCAACTCGTCACCCACAAGCGACAATTCCCATTGTTTGCGGGTTTCGTATGCTAATTTTGATACAGTTAGGTGGATGAGCCAGTCATCCCAGAACTCGGTTGGTCGACCAAGCGCGCGTAGCGCACCGATGTGCTGCAATGTAGCATTAAGTACGTGCTTGATTGCCTTAGCGGAGTCTTTGCTCGCCTTTTCTATAGATGACAGAGCCCGTATGTGACTGTCCACCATGACTCGTATGACCTTGTACCTTGAGGTCAACAAGTCCCATGCCTCACGATAATTACTGTCACACACTGACAAACTACTCACCAAATTAAGTGCTTCACCTTTCAGGCAGTTACGCAGATACTGCAGTTTTTGCCCATCCGACAGGGTTGCGTTCGCGTTAACCAGCGAACAAAATGAGTCGTGGAAGGATAACCATTCCGTGGGATCACCACAAAACGAGGGAACTGCATCTTTGGCAGCGACGTGGATGCATGCGCAACCGGAACAGGATTATGCGGTGGTGGTTGTATGTGCGATGACATAAGCCGTTTAAAGTTGGCCTTAGCAGTTATGTACCACTCCTCGCATTGTATGCGCGATTGTTCCTCCATAGGAGCGTTCTCGTCGCCACATGACAACTCCACTTCTTGTTGAGCTTCGCAAAAACGAACCCACTGCTCTTCCAATAATTATAGATGCGTGGAAAGCACTTCGACGTCCACCGAAAGCACATCTGCTTTACTCGACTGCAAATGTCGCTTAATGGAGTTTAAAGCGGAATCGCGGATTTTGAGCGAAGACATTTGCGTGTAAGGGCAACGCGAATGTAGATAATTATAAATTTACAGAAATAGCATAAGTCGCGCGGTTTGCAATTATAATAACACGACTTCGATATCCGGCGCGAAGGACCAGAATGTTAGCGATTAAAAGCGGTCGAAACTCGATTAACATTTAGCGGATTAACCCAGATGAAAATATACACGTTTTATGTTGATAAAAGCGATTTAATAATGTAAAACGGAAGCATGGTTTGACAGCTTACAACTCAGTGCTACCAAACTAGCAAGAACTTACAAACTCCGATAAGTACTGCCTAACTAGCAGGTCCTTACAATAGGGTTACCAGTTAGGCGCGAACATTTCTATTTTTGTATCATGTACCCATGGTACAATAATTACAGGTATTTTCTTCCCAGAGAGTGCATATTCCGATCTGCCTTATTTGAAAAACAACATTGTTGCCCACACTAAAAGGTTTCCTGCTAGGGAAAAGGGGTATTTCTATACCCCATATACCATGTATGTATGTGCACGTATTTTTTTAAACAAACCTTCATGCAGAGGACTTATTTAATTTGCAAAAGCCGAAAAATAGCTTAGTAAATAAATTCAAAATTTTTATGGCTCACTTCATTTCAAACGTTTTTTCTTTTGTTTTGAAAAATTATTATGTTATAAAAAGTAAAAGAATCAACATTGAATTGCGTCAAAATGAAAATAAGGCAGCACGAATTTCGATGTGAAGCAAAACTCTCTGGGAAGACAATACCTGTAATAAGTGTACCATGTCATGTACCTTACTATATTTTTATCATGACTACAACTACTTAGTTCATAGTTTTTCTCTTTTTACTTGTAAAATAAACATTTCTAAAATAAATGTATTTTCTGACTTTTTTTCGGTTTTTGCCTTTTTTGTGACTTCTAGTGCCTTTTCCTGCCTATTTCGCTATTTTGTTTCGCCTTTTCTAGCCTATTTCGTTGTTTTATTCTGCCTTTTTTATAGGTTTTTAGGTCCTAAAAATCCGTTCCCTGGTCATAAAGTTTTTATCGGTTTTGGTATGAGGGATTTTTATTCGATACTTGTTTCCAAAGTATCGAGTATCGATCGATACTTGAAAGTATCGAAAATTTACATCACTAATAGTGACTACCACAAATAAATTGAAGCGTATGCTGAAGAAAGTCAGCATAAGGAGAAATATACGTATAGGTATAGGCTTTATTAAGTGAACGCCCAAATAGCTCCTGAGGCCAAACAAAAATCGGATTGAGCCACTGCTCATGAAATATCAAATGCAGTGTGCCATTGAAGCAACTTACTCTCAAAAAGTGTACAATGTCGCAAATTTGCCAAAACTCATGAAAAATACAACATTAACACGCGCCAATTTGTGTAAAAGCTGTCGACGCTAGTTTGAACAAAAAAAATCATAAAGTTAATGGTGGTTGCATGCTGTCATTCGAACACTTTTTCGGATGTAACGCTACCATTCATTCATTCACGCTGCCATTAGAACATATTCTCGATAAAAAGTTGCCATATGAACTTATCTGCAATTTGCATTTTGAGCGATTTTTTTCGATTTTTTCGAAAAGTCCCTAAATTAAATCATTCATAAATATCTGTTTAACGCATTTATAAATATCGTTACAACCTTTGTTCTCTGATTTCTTTAAATAATTCTGAATTTCCGCATTAATGTCTTCAAAACCGGTTTTTG